AACCCCAAAACCCTAAGCAAATCTATAAACACGTGTTTAGTATGACCAAGTTTGGGACCACAACATAAAAAAATCACATAACATAAAAAAATCTGGTACCACAATATAATCCCAAAATCCTAAGAAAATCTTAGACCACAACATAAACCCAAAATCCTAAGCAAATGTTCAGAATGTTAAACGAAACACTCATCAGAATGTTAAAAGGATCTCTTAAACGAATGTTCAGCATGTTCATAATGAGAGGTGAATGGAGAATCATTAAATGAATGTACAAATGAATGAGCGATGGTCTTAGAACAAAGCGACATATATAATGGAATGTATAGATGCAGTCTGACATTTTAGGATGGACACGTCAGAATTTTTTTGATTTGACTTTATATTGTTATGTGACAAATATATTTGGAGTTTATTTTAATATATAAGTTTAATTGCAACTTTGGTTCTCCTATAGTTCTTTTCTTGATTTAGATCCCTACTTTAAAAACCACTATTTTAGTCTCCTTTTTAAGTTTTCTGTTGAATTTTTGTCCCCCTTTAAATTCAGGAGTAATTTTTAATGAGCTAACGTTATTTCTACTTATGTAATCTAAGTTTGATAAGTTGGATATCAAATGGCCTGCAACATAAATACTAAAGACCACGACACACACTCCAGGGAGAACAACACATTAACACTTCAGGGACCACAACATAGACAAATCACATAAAATAAACACATGTTTAGTATGACCAAGGCTGAGACAACAATATAAACACAAAACAACATGAAAAAATTACATAACATAACAAAATATGGGACCACAACATAACCCCAAAACCCTAACAAATCTGTAAACATGTGTTTGGTATGATCAAGGTTGGGACCACAACATAAAAAAATCACATAACATAAAGAAATATGGGACCACAACATAACCCCAAAATCCTAAGCAAATCTTGGACCACAACATAAACCTAAAATCCTAAGCAAATGTTCAGAATGGTAAACGAATCTCTCATCAGAATGTTAAAAGGATCTCTTAAACGAATGTTCAGTATGTTCGAAATGAAAGGTGAATGGAGAATCATTAAAAGAATTTCCAGATGAATGAGCGATGGTCTTAAAACAAAGTGACACATATCATAGAATGTATAGATGCAGTCTGACATTTTAGGATGGACACGGCAGAATTTTTTTGATTTGGCATTATATTGTTATGTGAAAAATATATTGGAAGTTTATTTTAATATACAAGTTTAATTGCAACTTTGGTTCTCCTATAGTTCTTTTCTTGATTTAAATTCTTACTTTAAAAACCATTATTTTAGTCTCTTTTTTAAGTTTTCTGTTGAATTTTTGTTCCCCTTTAAATCTGGGAGTAATTTTTAATGAGCTAATGTTAGTTTTGCTTATGTAATCTATGTCTGATAAGTTGGGTATCAAATGGCCTGCAACATAAATACTAGGGACCACGACACACATTTCAGGGAGCACGATACATTAACACTTCAGGAACCACAACATAGACAAATCGCATAAAATAAACAGATGTTTAGTATGATCGAGGCTGAGACCATAATATAAACACAAAACAACATAAAAAAATCACATGACATAAAGATATATGTGACCACAACATAACCCCAAAACTCTAGCAAATATATAAACACGTGTTTAGTATGACCAAGGTTGGGACCACAATATAAAAAAATCACATAACATAAAGAAATTTGGGACCACAACATAACCACAAAATCCTAAGCAAATCTTGGACCACAACATAAACCCAAAATCCTAAGCAAATGTTCAGAATGTTAAACGAATCTCTCATCAGAATGTTAAACGAATCTCTTAAACGAATGTTCAGCATGTTCAGAATGAGAGGTGAATGGAGATTCATTAAACGAATGTCCAGATGAATGAGCGATGGTATTAGAACAAAGTGACATATATCATAGAATGTATAGATGCAGTCTGACATTTTAGGATGGACACTTCAGAATTTTTTTGATTTGGCATTATATTGTTATGTGACAAATATATTGGAAGTTGATTTTAATATATAAGTTTAATTGCAACTTTTATTCTCCTATAGTTCTTTCTTGATTTAGATCCCTACTTTAAAAACCACTATTTTAGTCTCTTTTTTAAGTTTTCTATTGAATTTTTGTCCCACTTTAAATCTGGGAGTATTTTTAAATGAGCTAACGCTATTTTTGCTTATGTAATCTAAGTTTGATAAGTTGGGTATCAAATGGCCTGCAAAATAAATACTAGGGACCACGACACACACTTCAGGGAGCACAACACATTAACACTTCAAGGACCACAACATAGACAAATCACATAAAATAAACATGTGTTTAGTATGACCAAAGTTGAGACCACAACATAAACACAAAACAACATAAAAAAATCACATAACATTAAGAAATCTAGGACCACAACATAACGCAAAATCCTAAGCAAATCTATAAACACGTGTTTAGTATGACCAACGTTGGGACCGCAACATAAAAAAATCACATAACATAAAGAAATCTGGGACCACAACATAACCTCAAAATCCTAAGAAAATCTTGGACCACAACATAAGCCCAAAATCCTAAGCAAATGTTTAGAATGTTAAACGAATCTCTCATCAGAATGTTAAACGGGTCTCTTTAATGAATGTCCAGCATGTTCAATATGAGAGGTGAATGAAGAATCATTAAATGAATGTCCAAATGAACGAGCGATGGTCTTAGAAGAAAGTGACACATACCTTAAAACGTAACTTGGGTTTGCCATTTCAAAGATGTGCAAAGAAAGCAAAGAACTCGTAGATATCCAATGGCAACTTCGAGTTATGTGATTATGATTCATATTCGTAGTTTTGACGGATGGAGAGAATAGAGGAAAAGATAATTGTGACATCTAATTAGGTTTTCTAATTATTGTGGACATTAACTTAATAAAATATTTAATAATAAATAGACAGAAAAACACATGGAAATAGATTTGTACAGAGAAAAAATGACATATAAGCAAAAATAGCAACAACTCATTAAAAAATACCTCCAGATTTGAAGAGGGACAAAAATTTATCAAAAAACTTAAAGGATTAAAATAATAGTTTTAAAAATGAGGGATTTAAATCAAGAAAAAATTAAATAGTGAGACCAAAATTACAATTAAACCTAATATATATATATATATATATATATATATATATATATATATATATATATATATATATATATATATATATATATATATATATATATATATATATATATATATATATATATATATATATATATATATATATATATATATATATATATATATATATATATATATATATATATATATATATATATATATATATATATATATATAAAATAGACTTTAAGTTTTTTAGCTTAATTGCAACTTTGATTTTTCTTGGTTTTAATCCCCATTTTTAAAATTATTATTTTAGTCCCTTTTCCTCCATTCAATTTGGTGGTTATTTGTCCTGATGTGCCGCAAATTTAGTTAAGTTAGTATATAATATTTTATCCACTTCATTTTTTTATTTTTTTATTATTAAAATTTTATTGTATTATTTTATTGATTGTGTTATGGTTAAAGTCAAAACTTTAAACAAGATTTAAACCCAATATCCTTGACTTTAAAAAGAAGAGCCCAACTACTAGATTATGTGTATTTCTTTATTAAATATATGAAACAAATATATCTAATACATAAAACATTTGAAAACAATTTATATGATGTCCCGTGCTCTACCACGGGTATTTATCTAGTAACATAAAAGCAAAACAAAAACACAATTAAACCGTGTATCTATTATTGAACGTTGAATCGCCGTGTGGTAGTGTCTCTAATTGGTACAGCATGGAGCTATATAAATTTGTAGGGATACAATTTAAGAGGACGAGTCATACCACTTGTTAACATTAATGGCTGTGTTATGGTTATTGAAAACAAAATAATCTTTCAAGACTCCTATTCTAACTTTGTATTAGATATATTTATTTCAAACATTTAATAAAGAAACACAGCCTAGTATGCCAACTCAACTAAAATTACGCCACATCACCGCAAATAAACATCAAATTGAATGGAGGATTAAATTTAAACACAAAAATTGAAAATGGGTTTAAAATAGTGATTTTTAAAGTGGGGATCAAAATCTAAAAAATAGATTAAATAGGGAGACCAAAGTTACAATTAAACCAAGTTTTTCGTATTGACATTGCATGTTTTAGTCATATCCGAGACTTAGATGATGAGCTTTTCAATCGTCAAGTTGTTCAAGACCTTATCAGAAGAAAATTACATAAGGCTTAAACAACCATGAAGATTTATGCCGACTAGAGACACAAGCGCCGCGGCTTCATGGTTGGAAATCTGGTTTATGTGAATCATTAGGCAGCAGTAGAGTCCATAAATTGTCAAAGCTCATCTAGGGTCCCTGAAAGTTACTGCAGAAATTTGATGGTATTCCTTTCAAACTGGAATTTCCTATTAACAAGATTCACCCACTAACTCATGTCTCAATAACCAAACTATGCAAGGGTACTACTACACCTACAATGTTAAACAAGGTGTGCTTTGAAGATCAAGAGAAAGTTATTAATAGTGGCACCTAGTTTCTATCATTCCCAAAATATTGGTGCTTGCATTTTCCAAAGACTATGGCCGATTTTGAGTGTAATAGTGAGGAAAGTGGTGAGGATGATAAGCTTCACACAATGCAGGTGAGAGATATTGTATATATTATGGCCTATTTGTATACATTCTCATAACGAATTACACAGAATCAAAAAACAGTTTATAAAGCAAACAACCTGTTCAAGCAATAAAGAATCGGAAACTGGAATGAGGGGGAAAACAAAGAGAACTAGTGTAATAATTTCATTTCTTGATATGATTAGTTAAACTCAATAGGAAAGAAAAACTGAACCCAACAACAAACACTTAAAATAAAAGTCAAAAACAAATCAGAAGTCATGCAACAACTGTAACATTACACCTTAATTGCATATTTCCTCAATGGGAAATAGATTTCTTTCTTCTTCTCACGCTCTGTCTTCAAAGATTGCTGTAAGAAATACAAAGTAAACTCAGTAAGCAATATTATTAAAGAAACTTGTACAAATAGAAATGTCAACTACTCATATAAAATCTCAAGGCACAAAGATAAGTCATTTCAAACACAATACGAAGGGCCAACATATGTAGTATTTCATGAAAAGAGCTTCAAAACAACTCCACTAAAGATTAGCCCCAAAAGTCAAAAGAGGTACATACATGTTAGAAGCTTAAATACATGATCATCAATGCCCTAGGGTGATAAAACCATGCCATATCAACGAAAACTCTACAACCAAACCAAGTTTCCTAGTCCACACACAACTGAACCTGAACACTGGTACTTGCGATACACATGAATAAGTTAAGATCCATATGTGTTGTCAAGAAACAATTAGGATTGTGGCTTCTGTGAACAATAACTTAAGATGATCGTGGCTGAACAATACACTCAAATCTGCCACACCCCAAACTTAAAACCTTAATGTTTACACTGATCCCGTAACTTCCATGTGAAAAACAAAGACCCTATGGAGTAGCTAATCAAAACAAGAGAAGTTCTCATTCATCAAAATGAAATGCACACGGATTCAAAACAATTAACTAATCCAAATTTTCGAATAGAAAGAAACATTTAAACAATGCAGAAAGATAAAAAAAATTTAAAAAAAAGCACCTGATTCTTGGTAAGACGTCTTCTAATAGCTCTTGTCTTCTTAGGACGCAAATCCAAAGGCAAGTATTTCTTCTTCTTATAAGCTTCCCTCAACGCGGACTTTTGCTTCTGTGAAATCACAGTCAAAACCTGAGCTATTGAAAGCCGAACAACTTTTCTGCATTCAAACAATAAAAACAATCAAATTCATATACAATTAATGAAAATCCATCACATCTAAACCACAACAAAAAGTAAAGTTCAAAAACATACACCATTTTCCACACAAATTAACCATAACAAAATATATACAAGTATATTAAAAAACAGAAATTTAGATAAATTCATAAACATAGATATTATAAAAGTGAAGTAAATTAAAAGAAACATTAAAATTATAACAGATTATAATAGAATAGAGAATGTACATTTTGGAGAGTTTGTTTGGGGCTCCACCAGTGACCTTAGCAACGCGGAGAAGAGCAAGTTCTGCTTTGAGATCCTTCAATTGATTCAGAAGATCTGCTTTCGTTTTTTGCCTCAGTTCATACACCTTGATTCTTGCTTTTGAATTAAAAAATTCAAGGATTCAGATTCAACAAAGTAGGGTTAGAAAATAAGGATTTGTTAGAATCGAAACGAGAAAAATTAAGTTCGTTTGTTCTTACCCATTTCGAAGCTCTTGAATCGCCGCCAGAAAAATTGGAAGAAAGTGTAACCGTAGTTGTTTTGTTATGCTTACTTCTAAAAACCCTAAACTCGGAGAAAAGGGAAACGCTAAGAGAAGGTTTAGTTGGATCTGGGCTGACTTTCTTTCGGTTTATTTTCATGGCCCAATTTAAGAAGCTTTGGAAAATATAAGATTTTATCATGCCACCCTCACTTTTGACCTGACACCCCCCACATATTTCCATAATTTCCATATTACCGTTGCCAAAATTTGATCAAAAAAGTTGGTAGAACACCTTAAAATACTAGTACAAATAAAAAATGTTGATGGTGTATATGAAGATACAATGTATAAATAGGTGTAATGTGTTGTTAAGAAAAATATCTTATAATGTCTCAGTTTTTATTTAAGGTTGAAGTGTATTTCAATGGAGTTAAGAAGGATGAAGATTTGAAAGTTACGTGGCGAACATATCACCGAAGGCTAACTAAGGGATCGATCGATTTTGATGCACAATTTCTAAATTTGTCGACGATATAATCAAGATGTTGGAACATTCAGAACCATCTTGTAGTGTTTAGGTTTTCTTATTTATTATTGTTTTATTAAGTTATATAATCGTTTGTCTAAGTTATGTAATTGTTTGTCAAATGTTAAGTTATGTTCATCATGCATCAATAGAAGTTCCATAATGTTATCTAATAAACATTTTTTCTAAATGTCTGAGTAAGACTATGTATAATATACAAATAATACAAAAATGATAATAAGGTTTAAATAGGTCCCCCAGGGGCTATGTGTGTTGTCTGTGATGTCAAAGTATAAACATCGCCATTTCGGTTCACCAAACCCGTGAGGTTATCCATAATGACCATTATCATTTACAGGCGTTGAGCATCATCAACACCATGTGGAGGCGGAGTGATGGAGGCGACAGCACGTTATCAGAAGGTACCCCAGCATGAGAAGATCCAACCTGAGAAGGTTCGGCATGTGAAGGTCCAACATCATCTTCATGCTTCTTAAGTGGGATGATGCAAGGGTGAGATACTGTAAGGTACCACTCCAAGTACACATCCATACACTACGTATAAAACTGAACATCCATTGCTCGATCTCTAATGGCACAGGCAAATCCCAAAATGTGACCAACAAACCAACCATTAATGTCCTATGATAGAATAGCAGGGACTAGTCGTTAGATGTCCTGAACATATCCAAACTAGAAGGAGGCGTCATTCAATGTAATTGTCATCTCACCAAATGGAAGATGGAAGAAATATGTTACCTTGTGCCATCACTCAACAAAGGTTATCAATATATGACCATTCAACATGGTCAGCAAATTGTCTATCAGTGAAAGAAAACCGCAATCTTCAACAATCACCTTAACCTTCGCTGGCATCAGGACATCTGAGAATTTCTTCAATTTCCCCCATGGGTGGTAACCTTCAACGGCAGTCGGCCTTGTAACAAACAAAGTAAAAAACATTAGTTATTTTCAACGTATGAATAATAAATAGAGTCACATAATCGGCATATCATATGCATACCTCTATCTACCATAATTTGAATGCTACGTGATCGACATATCTAGTAAGCACAAAGCAATCACTTGGCCCTCCAAGAAACCCTTCATTTGTTTGTACAAACGGCTCTGTCAAAGCCAGAGTAGTGACCTTTGTCTAAATTAGAGCAGTGACCTATGTTTGAACTATGGGGGTGACATTCATATCATCTATAGCAGACGCCTCAATAGACTTATATTGCTCAATCACACTAGAAAGAGACTTCTTCTCAAGCCCATAGGCAAGAGGCTTTCACTGCTCAAGCGAACTAGCAAGAGACTTTTTATACTCTAAACAAATAGTTTAGGAGAATATATAACAATTATACTTGAAGTAAAATCAGAAGTATATAAGTGATACCACACACACACACACAAAGATTCTTAAACACTTAAGATTTCTAAGATATACAAAGATAAGAAATGTCAAGAACTTGTGCAACAAACAGTTATAATAACTTTATCTCAATGTTGTTTCCGATGTTGTTCTTGTTAGATGGTTAGTAGTCTTTCTTTAAATCTTCAAATCATGTTTATAAAGGCATAAAAGAGACGTTAGAAGGTAACTTGCACAAGTGGTCTATGTAGAGAAGCGGTTTTAAGAGTGATTTTGGAAGTTGATTATGTTAAGATCTTCAAACTTTGTGTAATAAATTTATCCAAAACGTCTTTCTCATACTACGTGTCTACCAAGATGGAGCAGACTTGAGAAGTCGTGTCAACTTTCCTTGAGCCTTGCACTAAGAAACTCTAGTTGACTTTCTCCATAATCTGGCTTTGACAAGATAGATCTACTTTGGAGACAGAGTATGGATCAGAAGTTGAGTACCTTTAGCTCAGGTTTTCAGAGTATGAGTTGTCACTAGAAGCTGAGATACCAAGTTCTGAGTCATCAGATTCTAATCCTTAAGAATCTGAGTCCTTTAGCTTCTCTTCATATGCTATAGGCAGGGTCAGAACCAAGTTGATTTTTAAGATTATGATCTTGCACACTCGAACATATTTAGTATACCCAGTTGTTCTTTAAGTAATTTGTTATCATGAAAACCCAAGGGATATAAACATTTTTGTTCCAACACACGTCACTCCCCACGTCTTGTGTTGGGCAACTTATCCTTAAGGAAGGTGATATATCTAATAGAATGGTGACACACCTGATAAATATGTAATTGATTTGATAAATGGGAGACTGGGAACCTCTATTTTGCCTCATACGACCTTCACTAAAATATATTGATACAATACTAGTCATAGGGTAACAAACATTAGTGTTTCGAAATATGCTCTAGCGATATTTATCGATTCATTTCTTCTAAAATTCACCTTCAACTCCACATAGCCCCATGGATTTGAGGATTATACTTTAAACCCCTAAAGGTCGTAACCCTTGTAAGGTATTAGGTGTCCTCGTGTTAAACGCATGGTATCCAACAACCTTACGTACATAATATTAAAAGCTTACTTGGTCGATAAGGACTTGGAGGATGTCATAATTCTCTATAACTTCCCTTATTAGAAATGGGCATGATGGTTAGGGATTCTGTTAATTAACTCCTCATTGGAAACATGATTATAGGGTACAACTTTTATTTTTATCGCCTCTGGTCCTGTTTGGTTAAGGGGGCATCATTTCTCTCAAATCTATCTTTATTAGGTTGCAATGCACTCCCTCAAACAGTTCCAACCCAGCTCCATTAACTTTCATCATATGTTGCCCATTCACATCTCCTCAAACTTTCCTTATTTTGGGTGACAAGAATATGAATATCTTTCTAGGATTTTAAAGTATACGATTTATATTAGAAAATTATCACATTTAAATAACATGTCCACTAAGATAGCGTAAGTTAGAGGTAAATATTTTCCTTCCTTATCTTCTAAGGACTTATTTTCTTGTATGACCCCCATGCTCTCAACCTTCCTCTTTGGGTGAGTTTTATCCATATATCTCATTTCTTTGGCGTTGCCCTTCTCTTGAGCCACACAAATAGATAACTTCTCTCGTTGGGTTATATCTTCAAGGACATATTTCAGTTAAATGTAGTCTTATGTATCACTCAATTAAATTCCAAATCATACATTTAATTGTCTAGTCATTGTTTTTGTAATAAAAGTGTCAATTTGTAAAACTTAATACATAATTTAAAACTTAAAAATTTATTGAAAAATAAATAATTAACAAAACTAGATTGTTATAAATGTGAAACATAAATGGCATTTGATAACAAATAATAAGAAAAAGAAAGATATTACTTGTACTTGCTAAAAGTACAATACGTGACAATCCCTAGTGTTTAAAGACTACCAGAGGTTTTAAGGTATGTGGTGAGGTTGAGAGCTAGCTTGTGAAGGGAGTGAGAAGCTATGTGTATCAGGTTTTCAGTGGGAGAATTAGATTGTTTTTTCTCAACTCTACCATCAAGATATTTATATCAATCTCGATCCTGGATCCTAGGCCTTTTGGGAATAGCAAATGTTACTGAGAAAATGCAGGAAAAGATAATTAATCTCTTGATATCCATGGGAGAATAGTTAACTTCCCCACGACTCATTACATATAATAATGTATAGGAGACATATTAGTTACCCATTTCCCCTCGTCATATGGATTATTCCAAAAATGGGAGACTGATTTAATAAAAGGGTGAAACATCCTATAAATGGACACTTGATCATGTAAATGGGAAATTATGAAGGTCTTAAGTGTAGCGGTGAAAATCAGAGATCAAGCTATTTAATTAACTTGACTCACAAAAGCAAGAGTCGTCATCGCGCTTTATTATTTCCAAGGGAAAAGGGGAAAAGTGATAAATAAACCCATAAATATGCAAAGTAAGTGCAATACTAAAAGTAAAGAAAAATATAATGCATTTGAAAGATCGAAGGTTCGGGTTTGGTTATACAAAGGGAAGGTACTAGCATCCTATGTATCTATATTATTCTATAGGAAACTTTTGAAATATCTATTTTTGTTTAAAAATTGGTTTTCTTGCTAAATGAGTGTAGGGATGAGATCTTAAAGATGCAACGACCTAGTGTCGGAGTTTTGGCTTAAATGACTGTAAATTTGAAAATTGAGTTTTTTAGGAGATTTGACTTAAAATTAACAAAACTAAAAAATGTATGAAGGGGTTTCGCACAATCATTGATGATATGAAGTTAACAAATTTGATTCTTTCCCTTGGAGTAGGTACAAACAAAAATATAAAAATCAAATAATCGAAAAGAACTTAAATAAATAGCACTTAAATCATTTAAATAGTTAACAACCAAAAATTAATTAAAGTAAACATGATAAAATTAAACTAATATATTTATGGAATTTTTATGAGGCAAAGAAAGAAATAATTATAAATCTAATCTAATATTTTTTGTATTATGTTTTTTTTAATGATTTTTAGTTAAATAAGGCTAAATAAACAAACAAAAAAACTA